TCTTCTTGCATTTCATATTTTGACAAATCAGCAAAATGAGTTGCGAGAAGGATTATTAGGCGAAATAACCATCAATTAACCATTTGTGTAAAATATATCTCTTAGAAAGCGTTGTTGAGCAGATGCGGCGTCTTATAACTTTTTAAACTCATCGCTGTTTTTATAATTAAAAAGTTTTTCAACGCTGCCTAATTAATGGCTTTCTTTCCAATCTTTGTTCAATTGCGAGTGTCTTGCGCCAAGATCTCCATTATCTAGCTTTTCAAAAGTTCTGTAAGTATTTGTCATCCTTTCTGCTAAGTTGGCGGATGCGATTTGCTGCTTTGGGTCATTATTCTTAATTTGAAAACTTCTGAATTATGACAACCTCTACGCGAAGTGAGCAAGGCATGCACAACATACCTTCTGTTTTTTATGCGTTACCTACTCTACCTTTGGCATTTTACTTGCTCCTCAGAGAGAGGGAAGGACCAAAGAAGAAAATTTCAATTGCGTAGAAAAACGCCGGCTGACCAACTGACTAATAGCGCTAGCATAAGGAACTGGGTAACCCAAAAATCACAGATTTGTTTTCTGCTTTTTTTTTTTAAATTTGAAGCTTAACTTATCTGCTTATCGCAATTCACCCTTTCGCATTGTCAAGCAACAGTTTCACGTTGCATTTTCTTTGAGAATTATCAAGAAAATATCTTGAACGCTTTATAAACACTGCATGATTGCGTAGAATTGGATGTTCGAAAGAAATCAGAGAAACGGCAACTGAAACAAATTTTAACATTGTGACCAAGAATTAAAAACATCCTGCAGACTTCAAGCTTTAAAGCTATTTTCTACTAATGACACTAATCTAGCGAAAAAGAGCTTTGTCGGAGACTATTGATATAAGTACTCTAATGGTGGTGGTTTTGTTTAGTTCCAATAAAAATATGTAGCTTGATATCGCATCACCTGAAAGAATTGTTTGTTTTGCACGTCTCCTCGCCCATCGATTTCGTTGCTTCAACTTCTCTGTTTTGATCTGTCAAAATGGCCAAAAAGAGAGCAACTGTTTTTTTCAAAAATATAGCTGCTACGTCGCTACTTTTTTCTGTGTTTACATCCGTAATTTGTGTTTGTAACTCAGATTGTAAAAGAATCCATTTTTTTTTT